TGCGCGTTGGGCCAAGGATCCCGAGTTGCTGTCCATCCAACGGGAGGTGCGAGCCAACGAGGAGTGATCTGTTAAACGCGGAATTTTTGACGGGCTCGATGCTACAGGGACTGTCCGTGCATCGAGCGAAATGCAATGAAAAGGATGTCTTCCGTGCCATCATGATAAGCATTCGTTTCCGCGCTTTTGTTATCCTTTGTTTACAGTTTCACCGTACAGAGAAAGTCGTGCAACTAAGGAAGGTCATCCACTGCATCGCGGTACCGAGCTTATTTGGTGAATTCTATGAGATTTTCGATATGAAAACTCGTGAACATGTGAGATCATCGGCATTATGGTAAGGAGCATGTTTTTTCCGTATATGCTCGTACAGCAGTTTCTGTTACGCATGCCATGGAGGAGGGCTGGAAACAGCAGTGGTTCTACAGCATCATGGCATCGAGTTTCGGCTTGCAACTCAGTGTCCGACTTGGAAGTAAGTACTCAGCTGGATCTTAGCGCACCTCTGGTTGAAGGCATCGTTGCATGCTGTAACCGTAGATTAAAACAATGATCTGTAGTTGTGTTTGCATTGTTGTCGTTCGCGTGGCTTGCGGATGAATGACCTGTAGTTGTGCATTGCGGATCTGTTAAATCGCTTGCGTCGTGTTCAAAGTAGGAAACGTTTGTTCGATCACAGTGGCAGCCATGACCACTAGCGCTCGTGAGTGGAGAGCGGCGCGCGAAGAAGATATCAGGAAGGCTTACGCCGACAAAGAATGTTGGACTGACCTTGACCGCATTACCTGTTGGCACCCTTACAGTTTCGGGTCCATAGAGGAGTGGCCATTGGACGCTGCCGTGATCAGCAAACCTACGGATCGAGCGTCGGTGCTGCTTGGCAGCATCAAAGCGGCCTGCAGCTTGGAAGACATTTGCCAGGCTCTGTCGGTGAAGGTCACCGTGGTGGTGACCATGTGCGCAAATGAAATGGAGATTCGAGGCGCCCCAAAGGATTGGGCGCAGTATTTCCAGCAAGAAAATGTCTATCACGTCAAGTGTCATTTGGAAGACACGACATTGAAGCCGCCGCACCGTTGGGAGGAAAGAATCCCTGACTTGGTAGCTTCTTGTTTGGAACAGTGGAAAATTGTTTGTGGCCAACTCTGGAAACAGTCCATGCTGGCAGTGACCAGGGGCGAATCCATGCACGTGCTCTTTCATTGCTTTGGAGGCATCAATCGAAGCGCTGGGGCTTTATGTGCTTGGCTCGTCGTGGGTTACAACTACCCTGCGGAGGATGCCGTCCAGTTGCTGCTTAAGAAAAGACCTTCCTTGCGCCCTTGGCACAATCGCCCCTATGTCTTGGAGGCTTTGTGGCAGCTGGAAGGTTTGCGGGCCGAGTGGCACATGGAACTGAGCGCGGCGTGCACAAATTGATTTGCACCACTGTTCGCCTGGAGAAACTGTTCGTGGCGAACGTGCTAGATCAGTAGCCAACTGTTGTTTGTCTGTAAAAATTGTTCGATCCTGTAGGGACATCGAAGAAATGGAGTGCAACAGGTGTTATCTATGCCATCATGCTATCGAACTTGTTTTTGTGGAATCTTTCACTGCGTACACAAACGAATTTGCACCACTGTTCGCCTGAGGAAACTGTTCGTGGCGAACGTGTTACATGAGTAGCCAAGTGTTGCTTCTCTGTAAATATTGTTCGATCCTGTAGGGGCATCGGAGAAATGCAGTGAAACAGGGTGTCGTCCAGGCCATCATGATATCGAACTTGTTATTGTGGAATCATTCACTGCGTTTACTTGTTGTTTTTGGGATACCATAATACTGAGCCTTTGTTTGTGCACTTTTGCAATTTTTAAGCATTTCCATTGCAACTACGTTTGCGCACCTTTGTTTGCAACTGAGGTCATCCACGGCATCATGGTACCGAGCTTATTTGGTATGTCAAACTCAGGAGTCGTTTTTTCAGTTTCGAACTGAAAGAGCAGATGCTTCGCATTGGATTGTGCGTTGTACATTCCTTGGCTCAGATGTGAACGAATGGACAAGATGCGTTTCGCTCAAGAGATGTGACGTTTGTAGGTGAAGCTGTAGTGGAAATATCGAAACCTGACGCTTTCAAGTAATACTTCTGTAGTCTGTACTAACAGCATGATACTTCGTTTCAAACAAATTCAGTTGATTTGAACGATGCGCTGTTGGTATCTATTCATGACTGGAAGGACGCCGGTTCGAGAGAATTGTACATCTACGATCAAGTGCACATGAACGGCCCTCCGGAAATGGGCCGCCATTTCTGGGGCCATTTGCCACTAGCTTGGATGCATGAGCTCATGCTCGATTTCACATTGTATTACATTCTGTTTTCAAATAAAGAAGCAAGAGATGATGCCAACCGATTATGGGTCTTCGTGTTGAAAGATACTCGGCGGCAGCGCCCACATCGTTGGACATGACGGCAGTTAACAACAAACAAAGTTTTGGTGCACAAACATGTCGCATAAAGTATTTGGGGATTTAAGTGTGTTCTGCCATGGCAGCGAATGTCTTTGATGACCAAATTCTACGACACATTCTTTCATTTGTGCCTGGGAGCTCTGAATTGGCTCCAAAATATTCTTTGCAACCAGAAACCGGACACTATCTGGTAAAAGCTGGTTGGCCGGTTGTTTTGAAGAAAATGTGTCATTGGAAGGAGGCAGACACCACCATCTGTATTTGCTGTGGTGCCAACCAAGAACCCGGCGATCCAAACGAGTCAGACGATAGCTGGACATCTCAGCAAGTCTCTGCTGGCTGGGCAAAGGTCATGACCGTGACAATACCACACTTTCGTCATCATCATATGAAATATATCAAAAAAACAGTCAGAAGCATAGAATATGTTTGGAGGACAATGGCAGCCGAGAGATGTTACATCTGCGGGCACTGCAACGACTGCGTTGTGAATCTCGAGTATGAGCATCCTGCTGACTGGCTGGAAGATCTTTCTGTGTTCACAGAGATGCTGGAACTTAGGTCGTGTCCGTGGAGGTGCCCAGATAAAGATCGACCGCAGTAGCGGGATTGCTCCAGTAGTAAAAGCGGCAAACGTGCCACATCTGCAGCATCATGATACCGACCTTTGCTGGAAGCAGCTTGTGGGAGCTGGAAGGCTTGCGTACCGAGTGGCACATGGAACTGAGTGCAACTGGCGCAAATTAATCTGTAGCAGTGTTCGTCTGGAGAGACTGTTCGTGACGAACATGCGAAACCAGTAGCCAACTGTTGTTTGTCTGTAAAGATTTTTTTCCCATCCTGTAGGGACATCGGAGAAATGCAGTGAAACAGGTGTCATCCTTGCCATCATGATATCGAACTTGCCATTGTGGAATCATTTACAGCATTCTTGCACGGACTTCTAGATTCTCTTGGATGCCATGGTACGGAGCCTTTGTTTGTGTACTTTTGCATTTTTAAGCGTTTCCATTGCGACTATGTTTGCCCACCTGTGTTGGCAACTGAGGTCATCCACGGCATCATGGTGCCGAGCTTATTTTGTATCTGTAGCCAACTGTTGCTTGTCTGTAAAAATTGTTCGATCCTGTAGGGACATCCAAGAAATGGAGTGCAACAGGTGTTATCTATGCCATCATGCTATCGAACTTGTTTTTGTGGAATCATTCACTGCGTACACAAACGAATTTGCACCACTGTTCGCCTGGAGAAACTGTTCGTGGCAAACGTGCTAAATCAGTAGCCAGGTGTTGCTTCTCTGTAAATATTGTTCGATCCTGTAGGGGCATCGGAGAAATGCAGTGAAACAGGGTGTCGTCCAGGCCATCATGATATCGAACTTTTTTTGGGCCCGGAATCATTCACTGCGTTCACTTGTTGTTTTTTGGATACCAATTTTTAAACATTTCCAATCCAAAGCTGTGTTTGCGCACCTTTGTTTGGAAGTGAGGTCATACACGGCATCATGGTACCGGGCTTATTTGCTATGTCAAACTCCGGAGTCGTGTTTTCAGTTTCGAATTGAAAGAGCAGATGCTTCGCATTGGATTGTGTGTTATACATTTTTTGCCTCAGATGTAAACGCATGGACCAGATGCTACATCTGCAGCATCATGGTACCGACCTTTGCTTGGAAGCAGCTTGTGGGAGCTGGAAGGCTTGCATACCGAGTGGCACTGAGGGCAACTGGCGCAAATTAATCTGTAGCACTGTTCGTCTGGAGAGACTGTTCGTGACGAACATGCAAAACCAGTAGCCAACTGTTGTTTGTCTGTAAAGTTTTTTTTTCCATCCTGTAGGGACATCGGAGAAATGCAGTGAAACAGGTGTTATCCTTGCCATCATGATATCGAACTTGCTATCATTCACAGCATTCTTGCACGGAGTTCTAGTTTCTTACGGAGCCTTTGTTTGTGTACTTTTGCATTTTGTAGCATTTCCATTGCGACTATGTTTGCCCACCTTTGTTTGCAACTAAGGTCATCCACGGCATCATGGTGCCGAGCTTCTTTTGTATCTCAAAGGTCTTTGTGTGGAAATGCGTCTGACCTCTCTCTCTCTCTCTTTATCTCTTCCCCCTCTTTCTCTCTGTGGTTCCACGACACATGTCATCTGATGCCCTTTACCAAATATTCTCTTCTTGATCAATCTTACTTTTTTACATCATGTCTTTCCATAGCTCATATAAAATTCACCAACTATTCACCGACTATCTTTTACGACTACCATACTCAGAGCTGCTTGAAACACATCTTTTTCGCTCTCGGGCCAACCGTCGTCTAGTTTCTGCATGCATTCTTGAATCCCACTTGTGCTAGCCACCGGGTTGCTTAGAGCACAGAAAGATGCTGTGTTGAAGGAACTTGAAGCACGCTGGTTTGTTAAAGGTTTTTTCACTAGAAATTTCATTGCCTGAAAGATACGCAGGGTCCCTGGAACCACGCTGTCTTGCATTTTTTTCTTTGAAACAACCGTAGTCTGTGAAAGATATCTAGAGTCTAGTGGCTGCAATGAAACGGCCTGCGGCTGCTGGCCGCCCCAAGCGTGCGGTGCGCAAGAGAGGTCTCAAGAGGCCTGCGCATGGGAAGGCTTACGATGACTACCTACTTTTGCTTGAAGAGAGAATTGACAGTGAGGCTGACAAGCCAGTGCTGGTGAAGAGGATCAGAGAATGGTTTTCGACCAGTGTTGAAGGGCGAAGTGGCTTAGAATGTTCAATTTCCTTGAAATCAGGTGGCAAGAGAGGCAGCGATGACAAGCATGCGTGGCGGCTAGTGTGCACTACTTGCTCCAAGTGCAGAAATTCTGGTGGCTGGCATGGCTGGGCATCCTATGCCAAGCAAGTTTTGCGAATTCGTGGCATGGGCTTGGACAAACATGGCGACTTTGACAGGAAGTACGGTGGATGTCCTGGTGCGCTGACAGCTGAGCAGAAGGCCCGTTTGAACCATTAGGTTTGTCAAGTGCATGCAATTCCTGTTTAAGGTTTGGTGCTAGTTTGGCAGATTTGGTGACCTTTGCAGCTTAAGGCTTAAGATATTCCTTGCATTTTGACGGCCCAGGTTCGCACAAATAGGCTGTCGCGAACTGTTTTTGTTTGGAAGGGGGTCGTTGTGCGCGCGCTGTGTGCTCGGGTGTGAAAACTAAGCCTTTTCTCCGTGGCAGGCGTGGCGCTTTTACCATCTTGCCAAGAGAGCTCTTATAGAGAGCTTCTACAGAGGTATCGTCAAAAGATCTTACCATGAGAACTCTTCTAGAGATCTTGTACAGAGACCTGGTTAAGAGAATAATTTTTGTTGAGAGATCTTTTGTAGAGAGCTTGATCTCAGAGATCTGAGATCTTAGTTTGAGATCTGACCTTGCACAGAGAGCCTTACGAAGGGATCTTGCATAGCAGCTTCTACAGAGATCATGTCAAGGAGAGTCTTCCCTGGTATCTCTTCTTCTCAAAATTTCTTTTTGCAGTACATGTTGTGGCAGGCCGTCACAAGACATGGTGACTTTAACAGGAAGTACGGTGGACGTTATGGTTTGCTGACAGCTGAGCTGGAGGCCGGTTCGCAAGGTAATTAGTGTTTAAGGCCTGGTGCTAGTTTGGCAGATTTGGTGACCCTTGCAGCACAAGATATTTCTTGTCACATGAGGAATGCATTTCGACTGCATAGGTTCGCAGAAAGAGGCTTTCGCGGACATTTTGTTTTGGAAGGGGTGTATTGGGCTAGCGCGCTGTGCTCTTGTGTGAAAGCTAAGTCCATTCGCTGTGGCAGGCGTAGCGCTTTTAGCATGTTGCCAAGAGAGCTCTTATAGAGAGCTTCTACAGAGGTATCGTCAAAAGATCTTGCCATGAGAACTCTTCTAGAGATCTTGTACAGAGACCTGGTTAAGAGAATAATTTTTTGTTGAGAGATCTTTTGTAGAGAGCTTGACCAGAGATCTGAGATCTTGGTTTGAGATCTGACCTTGCACAGAGAGCCTTACGAAGGGATCTTGCATAGCAGCTTCTAAAGAGAACATGTCAAGGACAGTCTTCCCTGGTATCTCTTCTTCCAAATAATTCTTTGGCAGCACATGTTCTGGCAGGCTATTGTGGCGGCCCACCTCAGTGCCACAAAGGTGATTGATACGGACGCAATCTTCACTATCCTTTCAGAGCGCTGCGACGAGCCTCCAGCTGTGATGAACTATTTGACGAACTACAGGGCTCGCACAGATAAAACTGTCAGTTTTGCATCGAAGAAGTGGACTGTGTCAGATTTTGAAGCACTGGTGAAGAGTTTGCCGCTGATTTCCGATCCGGGTGACTCACTGATACCCTTCATGTCGTTGAATGGCAACTGGAAGCAGCCGACCTCTGCATAACTCTTTGCAACAAGCAGCTCTTCAGATGCTTGTTTATGCTCAAGTCCGCGTTAAAGACGCCATAGCAAAGTGTTTTTTTAGCCGACATGGGATTTGGGGTAGGGTGGATTGGGATGTTAACGTTCATGTTACGCTATGATGTTACTCTGATCATGGGGGTTGGGGTGGGGTGGGGTGGGATGTTAACGTTCTCGTTACGCTGATGATGTGACGCTGATCATGGGGGTTGGGGTGGGGTGGGGTTGGAATTTAACGTTTAGGTTACGCTGATGATTTTACGCTGATAAATGTACGTTTTGACTTTCAGGTTCCGATGGAACGCAAGGCCGCACTTGCTGAAAGCAGTTGCCTCTCTGGAAAATCTCATTGCCGCAAGTGATCGAATCTTACTGCCGCAAGTGACGGTTGAGCCGTACCTTGGACAGATGATCATGCCTTGGTAGCATTCAGACAACTCAACGAAAACAGACGAAACAGCAGAGACTGGCATTTCCCTTGGGTGACAACTTGCTAGGTATTATTTTGTAAGTCTAGCAGACTTGAGACGAACACTCGATCAGTACAATGTGCAAGAACTCAGAGATCTATTCCTGGAAATGTTTTGCACTACAAAGACGGCAGTAGACAATCCTATGATGCAACCCACTGGCACTGGACAGAGAAGCTCTTTCCTCGATCTGGATGAAGGAGAATTAGAAGGAACCGACGGCTATTGGGCCGAAGATGACGAAGACGGCGCAGAAGGATTCCTGGATGCTTTAGAAGATGTTTTCCGGGTTTATGATGGCGCTTAATACACATGGTGTCAGAGAAGGTTCCAAGGAAGACAGACCAGACGAGGCAAAGGTAAAGGAAAGAGAAAAGGAAAAGGCAGAGGAGGACGAAGGTTCTTCAGATCAAGGAAAGGAAAAGGCAGAGGAAAAGGAAGGAGAAAAGGCCGCTCTCACATGGTTAGTGAAGAAGGATATGATGAGGAACGGAATGAAGATGGGTGGAATGAATCTCATGAAGGCTTTTGGGCCGATGATCAAAACTGGAATGAAGGCTATTGGGCCTACGATGATTTGTACCACCTCGATGAGTATGGATACTTCCAGAAGAAAGGAAAAGGAAAAGGAAAAGGAAAGAAAGGCAAGAAAGGCAAGGATGATGATGGCAAAGGATGGTGGGTAACAAAGTTGTGTGTGAAAGATGGTGGGTGACAAAGTGGTGTGTGAAAGATGTTGTGTGACAAAGTTGTGTGGGAAAGATGGTTGTTGACAAAGATGTGTGTGAAAGATGGTGGGTGACAAAGTGGTGTGTGAAAGAGGGTGTGTGACAAAGTGGTGTGTGAAAGAGGGTGTGTGAAAGATGTTGTGTGACAAAGAGGCGGAGAGGAGGAGGAGGAGGCGGGATACAGAATCAGACACAAGAACCCCACACAAAGATGTGGGGAATAATTAGTGCGAATCCGCTGTTTTCATTTCGACGTGTCCTTAGGTCACTGTTTGGTTTTTCAATCCGCTTGCGTCCGCTACTTTTGTAAGGACACCACTGCGTGACTTCCGCTCATATGTTGCTGATTTGCCATTGTCTATGGATGAATGACGATTTATGTGCTTTATCACTTTCCATTCACCAAGGCCAGCAGGGACTTTTTGAAAGTGACCGCAGAGGGCTTTGGAACGAAACAGTTCTTGCTCCGCTGCAAGTGCCCCGGCAAGACTTGCACATTCAAGTTTGTCGAGAAGGAGATCCCTCATGAGGAAATTCGAAAAAGACTTGAGGAGCATTTCCACGTGCGAGGGTACTGCATGCGTATTGAGAGCATTTATATTATGCGCCCTTCATCCTCCTCCTCCTCCTCCTCATCATCATCATCATCATCCCCATCATCCGCAGCATCCACACCCACATCCACATCATCATCATCATCATCATCGTCATCATCATCATCATCGCCATCACCATCATCCATCATACATACATACATACATACAAACATACGTACATACACACATACATACATACATACATACATACATACATACATACATACATACATATTTACATATTTACATACAGACATACGTACATACATACATACATTTACATATGCATTTACAACCGTTTACATATACATTTACAAATACAAATGCATATACATATACATACACATACATACATACACATACGCATACATATACATATACATATACATACATATACTCACATTTACATACATTTACTTGCACACATACATACATTACATTACATTTACTTTTACTTTTACATTTACATCACATTACATTACATACATACATATGTTGCACTGTCTCGAACATCTTTCGTATGCACATGCAGATTCGGGCTTCCATTTGGGGGGTGTGTTTTTTTGTGATCTTGCGTGTCTTTTGCTTACAAAACCTGGCGAGAGATGATTACTGCATTGGGGCTGGACCCAATAGATATTGCAACCCTACAACAGCCCTGCTCATCATAATCATTATCCTCATTTTCATCCTCATGCTCATCCTCAGCATCCTCAGCATCTTCATCATCCTCATCATCCCCATCATCCTCATCATCCTCATCATCCTCATCATCCTCATCGTCCTCACAATCGTCGTCATCAACTCATTTCTGTTACCATCACTTTCGTCATCATCAATTTTCTTCATCGTTTTTGTCAGCAACCTCATCAACATCATAAGATTGGCATTGTTTGTAACTTGCAACCGTTCGTGACTTGCAGCCACCAACTCCGAAAAGCCGCGTGAGACCGTTGCTGCATTCCGACTTCACCTTGCCATTCCCCTTGTACGACTACCACCCTACCCCAGCCTCGCTAGCTTTCGTACCTCCCCCCTAGCCTCAAGTTTTGGTTTTCTCGATGTTTTTGCTGCAATTTCTGCCCAAAATTGCCAAAAACCAATGGAGCCAACGAAGAAAACAACGCAACGGGGTCTATAGGTGGTTGGGACATAGGGTTGTTTTTTGAACGATTTGTTGACTAATATTTCCAAAACAGTGACAGACACCATTGTCTATGGACATCATCCATGTTCTGCTGATTTTTTCATGATTTGGGCACCCTCCCAGAAAGTTACATGAAACCATGTGAGGAGATACGCCGCAGCCAAGACTTGAGTATCAGCAAACAAATTTCAACATGGCCTTTGAAATTTGTTTTCAAAGCAAGATCCTCTAATACGTGCCTTGAGCAGCGATAAAACATTCCAGAAAACAAAAACAACTCGAAGTAAACCCTAAGCACACCATAAACAAATCTGAGAGTAACCCTAATTGAACCCTTTGTCCTAAACCAAGCGTTAATAAACCCTAAACCCCAAACAAACCTTAAACCAACCCTAATAATGAATCCTTAACCAACCCTAAATAGATCTTGAATCAAACCCAGATAAAACCTTAAAACCAACCCTATAAAGATCATCAACCAACCCGAAATAAACCTTACCAGCCCTAAATAGCAAGGAACATGGACAGAACAGCAGATCCCAAAAATCCTAAAAGACCCATTTTAAAGTGCTACTGGACTCATGAAATTAGCTCCTGGCGTTTCCAAACACCGTGCGTTTTTGGGCAGAAACGACTTCCAACACCATGTATCATCAATAAAGTAGCGCATCTGGTTATGAAGACCATTACAATGAGGGGATAGCATGGCAATGTGTTCAAACCTCTTTGCAGTAGAAGGCTTTGAATGCAATTAGGCTTGTTGAGGGCATTCTCCGAACGGAGATGGCCACATGGTACCATGCTCGGCTTGGAAGCGTGGAATTTTTCTGGCAGATGCATTGTTTTCCGTGTGGTTTTGTATTTTTCTGGATGTTGATATCTGGTTCATATAGGTGTGTCCATCATGTCCATTTTGAATGAGGGATGTTCCCAGAGATAGACTTCACACACACTTGCCACAACACGTCCTGACAAACGAAGGGAACCCCATGCATGCCACAACATGTCACAAATTGTCACAAGATAAATGGAAAATTGTTTGTTTGTTTTCAGGCGATATCATGCATTATTCTATATCATTGCATCACATAATCACCTAAACATTTCTCAAGAATTCTCAAGACACCGGCATGTCGAGACATGGTATGCCGACTCTGTGAAACGTCAAGCAAGCCACAGCTCATCATTTGGGGGTGTTAACTTGCAGCTTTCAACCAGAAGAACTCACGTTTTCACCAGCTGTTAACGTTGGAGATGAAATCCTTGGCCAAATGTGTCAGGGCCAAGTACCATCTCGTCAGTCAGAACTGATCAGGAGCTGCGCAGAGTGACAATGTATGATATGTATGGTCGTGTCATGCTTTTTGCAAGCAGTTTGACCTTCAGTGCCTTTTCAATATGTTGGGAAAAATGGTGTAGTTTTGTGATGTGCTGTCACACTGCTCAGCAAATCTTCCTGCGGTTTGTGGTCAAAGACCGGCAAGCGCAGGCAGCTTATTTACCGAAGAGGTCTATATAATGCTCAAACAGCCATTGTTCCTTTGGTTCTTTTCCATTCATTCATGTTTTCAGAGAGAATACAGTCCAATCAAGTGGGGCTATACATGATGGAATGGGGAAAATAAGGATAGAGAACATCTAGGAAGATCCATTAATAATTGTCGATGAAAACAAAAAACAACCAACACATGTTTTTTTCCTCGGAAGTAAATCGATCAGTTTCCGTATCACTGCTGCAAGTCAAACATGCTGAAAGTAGGAAACATATCAACATAAGTATACATAAGTGAATGATCGGGGTGTTTGGCTACTTTAGTTAAGTTTGTGTCACACCTCTGGTAATTTACTGCATGATGGCCGAACCTCAGTCCATTTCTGTCTCTGATTATGATCACATATGATCACCATCAATATGGACCGCAGCCTAGTTGAACATGATACTTGGCTACTTGGTATTGCTTGTTTGCATGCGCTTCCGCCGCTTTCTTGTGTGAGCTGGCCGATACCGGCAAAGACACCCTTGACCATCCGCTTCGATCTGCTCCGCGAAAAGGATTGCAGCGCAGGTGCCTAAATCTTGCACTACCAGATTTACGTAGTCAAAACTAGTCTAAGCAATGTGAAAGAGCTCATTTGATGCAAAGTCTTGCCACTACAACTTGCAAATGAGAAAGTTTATTTCAAACCCTGTCGTGCAAAGCCAGCCCTGAGACTTACAGCCTTGAAGGATTCACCTCTGTCGGAAAAGGTTGTTCTCAGCCAGGTGTGAAGAGTTCAAGATCTTCAAGACCCCCAAGATCGAGTTCATCTGGCTGAAGGTAGACATGGCCGATTCTGACAGCGAGAATTGATACGGACACACTGTATGATTTGCAATGATGCAAAGCCATCATCGAAGGCCTTCGTTCCTTGTGGCCATGCTTGCGTTTGGGGTCCCTGCTTTCATTGGATGCAGCCTTGAGACATGAAAGGCCGGGGCCCCAAACACTGGCGCACCGTGCCACACAGATCAAACCATGCAATTCGTTGTGTTGACTACAACGTTGGTCTTGCCCTACGAGCAGTTGAAGCGACATGCAGAAGACTGCAGAGGTTCTTTGAGGCCCGACATCCACTAGTCCACCAACTATCTAAATCCATATCCCCTGCCACATCCCACCAGTCTAGGAATGTTGGGAATTTGCTTTTCTTGCGCAGGTCCACGTCTGCCAAGACTGGCAGAAAGCATGAGCAGACCACAGACTATGTTGAGGTGGGCTGCAAATGTTGCAAATGCCTTCAGTGCTTGTGGAAAGGACTGATGTGGATCGGAAGAAATTAGAATGCATAAATCAAGATAATGTACTGTTTACCTACATGTTATAAATTTTATATTAATTAGATCTCTATAGCGTCACGTAGCGTCTTGGAATGAATTCTATATACATATACAGTTGAAACCTGAACGTGATCTTTGAAGAGGCTGTGTTCCTGTAAAACTTCCAGCATTCCTGGACACAAACAGCATTCCTTTTACAGGTGCTGTAAAGCTTTACTTTTAAGAAGTGCAGCCTTCCTTCGAGACAAAAATGTTTTTGTGCAATCGCACTATCATGCACTATCAATTCGAGAGCATCAGACAAGTGTCAGTCGAAATTGTTGTGATTTTGGAAGGCCAGACGTGCAGTCCTGGCGCAGCAAGCGAGCAAGTTTCGGAAGAAGCCTTTCACGTGCATTGCCTTGCACACGAAGCTTGCCTTGTGGAAGGTGCCGGTGCTCAGCGACACAGAACCTAGTGCAACATGGTGCAAGATAGTGCAACATGATGTCAGTGGCTCTGCATGAAGGATTGTCGATTCACCTGGTTGATGCGCTGCCTTGTTGTTTGTTTCAGCATGTTTGGCTCGAAAGAGCCGACCAAACTTTCGTTTGAAATAGCCTGTGTTTGCCTCAGAATTTGGATGCTACAAAGCATTGCAAGGCTAGGGGAAACATTTCGCGGATCCACGGGCACAGCACTTTGTTTCGAAAATATGCTGCTGGTCACATGGATTTTAAAGTTTCTGGGATTAGAGACAAGTACAGAAACGGGGATCACGGTGGCCGTTGTGCGGGATGTGTCTGCGCTGTTTGCTCTCCATGTGCTGCGGCTCCTTTCGGCATGGTGCATGCAGGCCGCTTCAGCTTGAGCTTCCAGCTGTTTGTTTTTCAGTTTTGAGTTGCTGCTTTGGGTGGCGGTGGCAGCATGACAGGCGCCGTTTATCAACGTTGTGCTCGCGGCTGCGGACTGGTTTGCGATCAAACCAACTTGAAAGATCACGAAGGACGCTGCACTGGAGAAGAGAGGCTGGAAAACTGCTTGAGGCTGCCATACGTTTCGGTCATAGATGGCATCAAACAAATGCAGAGGAAACTGAGACAACAAACTTGCTTGAGAATCTTGAGAACTCTGGTTGTGTCTTGGAACTGGTATACCTTTTGGGTGTAACGAAAGTCAAAGGATCCAGCTCCAGATGATTTAGAGCACAGGGAAGCGTGCCAGGATGGGCAATTCAATAGATGGTGCGTTAGCCCTTGGGTGGGTTGAGGTCTTTTGATCTTCCCCCATGGATCCCCATGGTACATGTGATTTTAGATTTTGGTCGAGTTGGCCATTGCTCACAGGTTGGCACCCGTTTGCGTTCGGTCGTTATCATGTACATTGTTGCAGGAAAAGAAAATCCTCCTGGCATATAGACATCATGTAATTACATCATGCACAAATATGCACAACATCCACATCATCGACATCACGTGCAATCGTGCGCAACATTTACACGCCTACAAGAGCTAACAGCCAACCAACTAGCACTAAAGCTGCTCCAGGAATGGGATGCCATACTTGAAATGTTACGAAAGCCAGCCGGCAGGCTAGGCTGAAGTTATTACGAAAGCCAGCCGGGCAGCTGGCTAGTTGCAATTTGCGAACGAAGTGAGAATAGGGGGTCTGGGGGGGAGGGTAGTTGCCAAACGGGTCAAAAATCGCGAAAATAGGCGGTGATTTAGTGCGGGTAAAGTATGGTTTTGCAGGGTAATGTACCAGGCGGCAAAACAGTGACGTTGGGTATCGATTCCCCCTAGGTCCGGTTTTCTGAGGTTTTCTGGGCTCAGTCATGCTCAGTCAATGGACAGATAGATGGGCCAGCTAGTTAGAGGAGATTGGAGAGAGAAGGACATTGGGTGAAAAGTATGTGCAAGAAGGGTTTGGGTGAAGAGTCTCTGGGTGAAAAGTATATAGGTGAAAAGTCTGTGCAAGAAGAGTTTCTGGGTGAAGAGTCTCTGGGATCTCTGGGTGAAAAGTATAAGGGTGAAATGTCTGTGCAAGAAGAATTTCTGGGTGAAAAGTCTCTGGGTGAAAAGTATATGAGTGAAAAGTATGTGCAAGAAGAGTTTCTGGGTGAAGAGTCTCTGAGTTAAAAGTATATGGGTGAAAAGTATGTGCAAGAAGAGTTTCTGGGTGAAGAGTCTTTGGGTGAAAAATCTGTGCAAAAAGAGTTTCTGGGTGAAGAGTCTCTGGGTAAAAAGTATATGGGTGAAAAGTATGTGCAAGAAGAGTTTCTGGGTGAAGAGTTTCTGGGTGAAAAGTATATGGGTAAAAAGTATGTGCAAGAAGAGTTTCTGGGTGAAGAGTCTCTGGGTAAAAAGTATATGGGTGAAAAGTATGCGTAATAAGAGTTTTTGGGTGAAGAGTCTCTGGGTGAAAAGTATATGGGTGAAAAGTCTGTGCAAGAAGAGTTTCTGGGTGAAGAGTCTCTGGGTGAAAAATCTGTGCAAAAAGAGTTTCTGGGTGAAGAGTCTCTGGGTAAAAAGTATATGGGTGAAAAGTATGTGCAAGAAGGGTTTCTGGGTGAAGAGTCTCTGGGTGAAAAGTATATGGGTGATAAGTATGTGTAAGAAGAGTTTCTGGATGAAGAGTCTCTGGGTGAAAAGTATATGGGTGAAAAGTACGTGCAAGAAGAGTTTCTGGGTGAAAAGTCTGTGCAATAAGAGTTTCTGGGTGAAGAGTCTCTGGGTGAAAAGTATATGGGTGAAAAGTATGTGCAAGAAGGGTTTCTGGGTGAAGAGTCTCTGGGTGAAAAATATTCGGGAACATAGGGATAGATGGGATGCTGGCTTTCGTTCCCCCCCTTCTCAGGTTATTGTGAACATACATAGGGGTCTGGGGGCAAATGAGTTAATTTTGAGGGTCATGTACCGTGTGGCAATTCCGTGACGATGGGGTCGGGTATCGATTTCCTCCTGGTCCGGCCCTTGGGGTTGGAAAATGTTCTAAACAAGGCTTCACAGAGATGAGACATGGAGAGTTTAGAGACGCACAAGTGGAGAGATTTTTGCCCTTTGAGACCATTTAGATACATAAAAACAAACAATGATGGGAACCGATCTATATTCAATATGCCTGCCGTTTGAGACCATTGAGACGCCATAAAACGGTGATGAGAACCAGCTATGTTCAATATACATGCTTTTTGAAACCATTGAGACGCACAAAAACGCAAAGGACATAATGTGTATAGACAAAAGCGGTGATGAGAACCCAGGTAGATTGAAGATACCTGCCTTCTTGAGAGCACACTCAAGACTTCTCACCCACAGAATTCTCACCCACTGATTGCTCACCAACGGGCTTCTCACCCGCAAAATGCTTACCCGCAGACTTCTCACCCACAGAATTCTGTGGGAGAAGTCAGTGGGTGAAAAGTCTGTGGGTGAGAAGTTTGTGGGTGAGAACTCTGTGGACCTGGATGAGGGTGAAAAGTCTGTGAGTGAGAAGTTTGTGGCGGGTGAGAGGTCTATGCGAGAATCCTGTGGGTGAGAGATTTGTGGGTGAGAAGTCTGTGGGTGAGAATTCTGTGGGTGGGGAATCTCGGGTGAGAAGTCTGCGGGTGAGAAATTTCAACATATCTCTCCCCAAGCTATTTCCACGGTTTCCTTTCCGTCCAGGATGTCCACGCTTCCGTCTCGCTCCCCCCGCCCCCGCGGCGAAGCAAGCTAGACGAGAACCTGAGCATCGGAGATGCCTTCGGGAAAAATAAAGCAATCAAATGAGCCAGCTTTTTGAAAAGGAGTCAGAAGGAGTATCAATACAACAATATCTACAGCTTCAGGCTCCAGGTGCAGGCGATCTTTTTTGGACTCCATATGTCCGCCCTGGTTCCTTCCAGCACTTGCCTGGTGGCCGATCGCATCCACAGTCTGTGAAACCACAACGCTCACACCCACCACGTGCACACCTCCCCCAAGGTTCACAGCCTGCACATGGTCCACTCAATCCACAGTTCACAGCATCCACAGATCATCCAGCAGCTTCACATAACGTACAGAATCCACATTTTCGTTTACATGCACCATGCACAACATCCATTCAAAAACAGCGACCGAACCTTGAACACTAAAAGATTATACAGTATCATGCAAGCCTACTCTTTAACACTGCATTGCTGCTCGCTTGTTCGATCCTACTTTTCGTTTACAGCCTGCTCAAGCGGACGGAAGCACTGCACAGTACCGGACAGTAGTTTTTGAGATCTGGATGCTTTTGGGTGCAGGCTTAAATCAGGCAAGACGCTCCGGGTGCGCAAGCAATCTCCAGAGTTTGCTAAGGCAGGAAGGAGTGCAAATTCCAGATTGGACATGATGTAAGGGCCTTTGAGTGGGTTGTTATTTGGGAAAAGGAAGAAAAGGCCAAAATCATGGCATCCTACAGGGTACCAGGAAGGCTACTGGAACATATTGCAAGCAACTGTGTTGGGATATTTGCCTGTCATCGAGTATAGATTTGACATGATTTTGATTCCATGCATTCTTTTTTGATTGCTGGTTTGACGTTGACTTTGATTTGCTTAAATTTCCACCTTGCCAAACTTGCCATCCTCGAAGGCCAGCACAGACTTCAAGAAAGAGATGGCGGAAGACTTTGGACACGAGCCTTTCATTATCCAATGCCGCAACTGCACCACCCGGTGCAATTTCAAGAAGGCAGAGAAGGGTGCCTCTTACCAAGAGATTCTGGCAAGATTTCACGAACATTTCACAGTCGGGGGCTGAGGTAAACCTTCAGATTCAGATGCACTTGTAGTAGTTGGCCTGCGGCACGTAAACGGCCATACAGTTTTGTAGTTTTTTCTCATTTCTGGGATGGGGTGGGACAATGGCGTCAGTTGCCTTGCGTTCT